TTATTTCTCAAATTTTTAAATTGTTAATAATGTCAAAAAAAAAAAAACTTGAATATCAAGAAATTAATAGTAGCGAATCTGAAAATGATAATAGTTTAGAAGAAAATACAAGTGTTTTTAATAGAACAGAAAGTGAAGTTGATTTTTCTACTGAAAATTTACAAGAAGTTGGGCCTAATTTAACTTCTACAACTACTTCTACGGCTATTTCTACGGCTACTTCTATGGCTACTTCTATAACTACTCCTCATGAATCTTCTTGGGTGTGGAAATTTTTTTCTAAAGAATATGATGATCAAAATCAAATTAAATCCCTTATTTGTTCTCTTTGCAAAACACGATATAAAGCAACAAACTCTCCTGGAACACTTGCTACACATTTGCGTACAAAACATAAAGAAAAGGCTGAATATGTACAAGCTACATTAGATAAATTTAAATCTAAACCATATTCAAAACAAGATCAACGATATAAAGAACTTACTGGTTCAATCATAGATTTTATTGTTTGCTGTCAACTTCCATTTGCAATTGTAGATAATCCATATTTTGTTAAAATGTTAAATCTTTTTGATAATCGATATTAAGTGCCATGCCGTCAAACTATAAAAAATGAAATTATGAATTATCACAAAAATATGGAAGAAAAAATTAAAGAAGAGCTTGCAACACACAAAAAGTATCAATTACTTGTGGTATCTGGAGTTCTATTACAATGCAGTCTTATTTAGGTGTTACAATTCATTATGTTGATAAATAAAGCCAGATCTAGATATTCAAACCCGATGGAATAGCACTTATTTAATGTTAAACAAATTTTTACAAATGAGAATTCTTTTAGATATTCTTGTAGCTAAACATCGAGATCTTTTACCATTATATTTGCAAGAAAATAATTGTGATAAACTTAAAATAATGATAAATATACTTCGTCCAATTTTTGATGCAACTGAAATCTTATCCACTTCAACATATCCAACTATAAGTGATGTTAGATTAACTATCTTTGGATTAATTCGTCATCTTAGTCCTTTTTTAGAAAGTACTTCTTCAGAAGATCGTTTATTTGTTGAGTCTATTAATTCTAAACTAAAAGAATATTGGAATTATATTGAAGAATCAACAACAATAAGTACATTATTAGATCCACGATCAAAAACAAAAACATTTACTACTACTGAGCAACGTGAAAAAGCTATAAACATATTACAAAATCAAATGAAAAATTATAGTAATCAACATAATCATATAGTTTCAAATATACAAAAAAGTAAACGATTTTTTTTTGAATCACTTTTAACTGAACAAAGCAGTAGCCCATCTATTGAAGATGAAATTACAAGGTATATTGCGGCACCTGTAACTTCTGATGCTAATCCCTTAACCTGGTGGCACCATTATAAAGGTAAGCTATTTAAAAATTTATATTTATATTAATAAAAATACAATTACAAATTTATTTATAAATATAAGATGATTTTCCGGTTCTTGCAACAATGGCCTCATGCTACTTAAGTATACAAGGATCAAGTGTTCCATCTGAGCAAGCATTTTCAATAGCTGCTAATGTAATTACTAAGATACGTTGTAATTTAAAACCAGAATCAGCTCGTGCTGTAATGCGTTTAAAAAGTTGGATCCCCAAAGTTCGTGATAAGCATGATAAAGAAAATGATTTAGATATCGAAATTTTATCTGAATCATAAAAATATATATTTATAATGTATATTTTTTTTTTAAAATAGGCTAGTTTTATTATGATTATACTAGAATTTTTAAATTTTAAAGATTATTTAAACTAGGTTTTTTATTTTATTTCTTTAAATATAGGTTGTTCGGTACTTTATTATGCTTGATTATATATTTTTTGCTTTAAATAAATATAAAGATTATTGATACGAATTAATATACTTATAATAGTATTATGTAGTTACCAAAAATTAGATACGCTCATACTATAGTATTTTATTTAACATATAATACTAATAAAGTTTGGGTTCAGAAATTTGATTTTTATTTAATTTGAAACCATAACAACAATCTAAATATATTATATTGAAATTCTATAAACGAGTAAGTATTAATCTAATCTAAAAATTAATTATAATTGCTATTCATCATGAAACCTATCTCTTCTATTTGAACAAACAAATTTTATGGTCGATAATATATCTGTAACTTCTTTAAATAAACAAATGAAAATCATAACTTTTGCTAAAAAAAGGACTTTATAAAAATTAGCATAAGCGACATCAAAAAAGTTGAAGGAAACCATTTCATATTACACAAAAACATGATCGTACTGGTAAAACTAGGGCTTCACACAGGCCGGCCCATGGGCTTTTTCTGAAGTTAATGTGAGCCATTTTCCAAAGTGCTAGTCACATGATTATTTTTCATGTGACTGGTACTTTGAGGGGATGGCCCAAATAATTAGCTTCAAAAAAAGCAATGGGCCGGCCCGTGCGGAGGCCTAGATCAAACCATCAGGGCTAGATCGGGTTGCGGCAGAGATATGAACTTGTTCCTTAAGTGTTCACGACAGACTCCTTAGGATAATCTATTAAACACGGTTGATGCTAATACGTTTAGAGAATGGCCATGGCTTACTTGTTTAGGATACGAACAATCAATAGATCAAAAATGTCATTGCTTGTAAAAACACTCAGGTAATGTTAAGCATTTATTACGTAATCAATTAAACAAAATCCGGTATATGCAAATATCATTATTTAAAACTTTAAAGATAATAAAGATTGGCGTTAAAAAATCAATAATACAGAATTGGAATTAGATCTTAGATCTTATTCTATAAATAGAATAGTATAATAGTAATCAAAATAGAACGATCTTTAAGGGTTATCGGCCTTTAAGGTAATCACAAATACAGTCAGACCTCTCTAAATGCATAGCTGAGGGGCAGCCAAAAATCTTGCATTCAGGGAGGTGAAATTCTATGTTATATGAGTTGGGGCCGAATAAGACCATGCATTTAGAGAGATTTTTCATGTATGTGTTTAGGGAACATGCATTTAGGGAGGTTTGACTGAATATGCAAAATTTCTTGTTTCAAAATAAAAAATGCATTTACATATACTATTAATTTACTAATACATAAATAACAATAATATTTGGTCAAATTTAGCAGATCGCAGCTTACGTGACAATCACTTGATTGTTACTTGATCGCATAAGGATATGGATATAAAAAGCCATACTTATAAAAAATTGTATTGAATATAATGATATTTGCCATTACTGTTACGTACGTACATGATATTTTCAATATACACATTTGTTTAGATAACCAGTTATTTACCAATAAGGTTTAGACATAATTCTCATATTATATTTAATACGCCTCAAAATCAGGTATTATACATTCCAAGATAATCATGATCTCACACTATCAGAAAAATTGCGAAGGTGCAACATGTGAAATTTTAATATGCATTCATACTGTCACTTTGCCACAAACATTATCCAGTTAGATACAAGATTTTGCGGACACATATCACTTAATTTGCCATATAACCATACACTTCATGAAATTTTCAATATCACAGTATACACTTCGTGAAATTTTCAATATCACTCTGTTCCTGGTATTATACTAGTATTGGAACAAATTAAAAATTTAGCTTCTATCACTATATTAATATTTTATTCAGTAAATTATCTGTATGTATCTGCATGTGTATATTTCTTTATAACGGTAATTCCTATCCATTTTGATAAAATATCTAATTTTCTTGGATTTATTTCATAACTTATACTAAAATAGTAATGATGAAAAGCTTGGTGACTTAACCATATGAGAAGTAGAAACGTATATATTCTAATAGCTGCAACGTTGCTATTAGGAGCATATACATTACTCTTGGAGAGTAAATGTTCCTAAAAATTTAAAATATGTTTAAAGACCAAATTTTCCAAGCAATAAAACCATCTCTCACCCCACTTTGATTAAAGAAAAGTAAATATTTATACCTTTTCTGCACTATTCATATGCATTAGCATACTATTTTTAAAAACCTACATTAATCAAATTATAATATAATACTAGAAGTCTACGCAAACTAGAGTAGCTGCATAATGTAGTTACGCTCAAACCAGAAATATAGTATATGAATTCTTTTGATTTTTTTTTTAAGTAATATTGTAATTTGAAACAAACAGTAACCTGGATTTCTTAGATTCTTAGGCCTTGAAAGTTAGTTAGTAACCTATCTAGAATTAATAATATACCAAATAAGTATCTCAACAAGAGGGATACTATTTACGCAATTTTTTATAGTTTATTTATCAAATTATTTACTTATTATATACTATGTAAAAGGTTTAATATTTATATATCAAATCTAAATTGATTTCAATTACATCAATAATACATATTAGTAATATACATATCAATATTCCAAAACATTATATATAATTATAAATATACCATTTTTTGATATGCTCTTTATAGACATGAATAAGTTATATTAATATTAAGTATAAGATCACATATGCATGAATGGGAAAACCTGTCATCAGACATTCAATTATATTTCATGTACAGTTAGCTGTTTATGGAAAATCTATCATAATATAGATTTTCTACAAACGGCTAACTGTATACGGAATGTCCGATAACAGGTTTTGGCAGCACTCATATATGTATATAAATTTTGCCCAAGTCTATACTTACTATTCTAGATAGCAGTTAACTATACACTTCGAAATTTCTAGTATTTTGTTTTTAATTAGATATACTTTTCACATGCTATTTAAATTTCTAATCTGTTTGTGTATACTAGAAACGGAATTAATACTGTATAATTTTATTATGCAAAAAAAATAAAAAAAAACATATATAAACAAATTAAAATTCGATTGTTTTACTAAACTCCTATCTTGTTTTTTCAATATTTTATAAAGTTAAAAAGTAAAAAGTAATAAACTATATCATCTTTTAGTAGCAGTAAGTAGTAAATATAATAAAATAAATTGTTGTATTAAACCAAACATTTTAAATTAAATTGTATCACAAAATTAGATCCGTAAAACACAAGTTATTATAATGGAAGATGAGAATTCGCAATTATTCTCATCATCTCAGCTGCTCAATGAATCATTTGCAAACTCTATAAAACCTAAGAATCGAAGTTGGGTATGGAAATATTTTGAAATAAACGAAGTAGTTGAAACTACTCATATTAGCTTTAAATATGGAATTTGTAATGTAAATGATAAATTGGGTAAAAGATGTAATATTCGATTGAAAGTTTCAGGTGGATCAGTGTCAAACTTAATTTCTCACCTTTTAAACAGTCATGGTATCACACAGGATAGATCTGAACAAGATGATATGGATAAATAATTGTTAATTATATAGTAATTAAATAAATACAATTAAAAGAAAATTTTTTATTTTCTAAAAAAAAAATTTAATTTAAATTTTTTTTAAAAAATGACTTTATAGCTTTGTTTATAAAAATGTAATACCAGTCTCTAGAGTTGAAATCTATGAATATTCAATTAGGATATGAATATTCTATATATTACACAAAATCTATAAATATCTGCTGTGGCCTAATTAAAAATGCCTCTTGTGAAATTTTACTATTAAGGACTAAATTATTCTAACCTAACCTAAACTACAATACTGTTTAATTCTTGGTAAATAATTACAGGGAAGGAAAATTTTTGTGGATGCGCTACCTAAATCTATTAGGTTTTATTATATTCGATTAGATCTAATAGTTTGTGCTAACTTGAATGAGTTGTAATAAGCAATAATTAATAACATATAAAAATAGATAATAGTTAAAAAAGTTAATATTGTGTTGTATATCGAAGCGATTTTAAATAATACTAAATACATACAAATTGAAATAAAAATTTAAATTCACTCAATTTGTTAAAGAATTTTGAATTAAAAGTTAATTCTGAATCTATTTGATATATATTAAATTCAATTTAAACAGCAACGTATTGTTCTAGAGTATTGCTTTGGAATATTGCTCTGGAGTATAATCCGGAGTATTGCTTTGGAGTATAATC